TGGGAAGCGGAAAGGTGAGTAAGAGAAACATAATTAGAAATGGGATGAAGGGTTTAAGTGCGTTTACCTTTCCGCAAAGCAATGGGTAGATCAAGCTCAGATGCTAAGTGCGGGTCTGGTGCCGGATCCGTCGACGGAGATGTAGCCGAAGGAGGAGTAGCTGGTGCGTGTGGGCGATGTGTATACACATGACGGATAGGTGGGCGTTCAACAGGTGGTGGCACCGGAGGCAAGGATTTGGTCTTGATTGGAACAAAGGAAGGAGGATCGACAACGGGAAGTGGAAGAGGAGGAGGTGATGAGGAGGAAGAAGCATCACCGGACCCCAAAAAGAACGGAGTAGACTCAAAGAAATTGACATCAACACACACAAAGGACCGTCGAGAACTAGGATGGTAACACATGCCCTTTCTGGGTCCGAGAATAGCCAAGGAAGATGCACTTGAGAGAACGGGCATCGAACTTGTCATTCCCGGGACCCAGATTATGGACGAAGCAGACACACCCAAAAACTCTTGGCGTAAGAGGGAACGGAGACAAAGTGGGAAACAAGACCTGAAATGGAGAATGACCATCAAGGATGAACGTGGGCATCCGATTAACCAGAAAACAAGAGGTAAGCACTGCATCATTCCAAAAGGGTTTGGGAACATGCATGTGATGCATTAGGGATCTTGCTGTTTCAAGGAAATGGCGATTCTTTCTTTCAGCCACCCCGTTTTGTTGTGGGGTGTAGGTACACGACGTCTGATGTATAATGCCGTGTTGGTCTAGGTATTCCTGAAATGATGAGGATAAATATTCGCGGCCATTATCAGAACGAAACACTTTGATGTGGGTACCAAATTGGTTATGAATTTTAGCATAAAATTTTTGGAAAATGGTAAACAATTCACTTCTTTCTTTCATTTAATAGAGCCACGTCATCCTTGAAAAATCATCCACAAAAATGACAAAATATCTGTATCCATTATATGACATTACTTTATAAGGATCCCAAACATCTGAATGAACTAAAGAAAAAKGACTCGACACACGGTTATCAACCCTAGAACTAAAGGGAACACGATGGTGTTTCCCAAACTGACACGACTCACAATCCAAAACAGAAAGCTGACTCAAGGACGGGACCAAGGACTTCAAGACTTTTAGCGATGGATGACCAAATCGGCAGTGCCACTGGAGAGGAGAAAGAGACGACTAGAGAGCTGTTGAGGTTCTACCACCACCACCGTCATACAGTCCACACACGACAGCCGCTGCACACACAACAGCCACTGCCCACACAGTTCAGCCCTCTATTCTTCCTCTACTAGGAACCATCGTTCCCTTTATTTTTTTTATGAATATCATTCCTTCATTTTGCTTGTTAGGCACCAATAGGCTAGGATTTGGGTGGTTATACTTGTACCTTTTCTCCTCTCTTCATTTCTCTTCCTTCAATGTAACACCTTCCATTATTTTTATTGATCATATAACACCTCTATTAGAAGCTGCAAATCTAGTGTCCCTATCCGCGGGCGATAACATTGTTACTCCACATATCTACAATATTATCACCAACTTATGTTATAATGCTATCTCTTGTACTTCATATAGTGCTGGTATTGTTCATTGGGGAATATGTATGCCATTTTTTTATTGGAAACAGTAACTTTCATTAATTCTTTAAGAAACTTAGTACAAACTGTCACCTTCAAAAACAAGGTGACCCCTCATCAAATTACAAACAGGCCTAAAAAAGGTTCTGCATACTAACTCGTCGCTTTGCTAAAGTATCAGCCATTGCATTGGCTGATCTCCTAGTCCATTTAAACCTGACTTCAAGCTCCCTTGTTAGTTGCATAATCTCCCTTACTGGTTGTCTAAGGGACCATGCACTTAAGCTGTTTGTTTGCATCCAACCTATTACCGGTTTCGAATCTCCCTCCACTTCCAACTGCTGAAAACCCAGCTGTTTAGCCGGCTTGACCCCCTGTAGGAGTGCCAAAACTTCTGCTCTAAGAGAGTCCCCCAATCCTATCGGGCCAGAATAAGGGGGCCAGGACATTTCCTCCCCATCTCTAAAGACACACCCAATTCTAGTGGGGCCTGGATTACCTACAGAACTATCATCAAAGTTTAACTTAATAGCCATTGATAATGGGGGGCGACCAGTCCTCTTGGATAGCCAAAGAGGGGCAGGAAGAAGATGCTACTGTACTCCACCCTCTAATTAAGTCCTTTACAGAGAAGCCCTTGAACAGGTCCAGCGATTTCAGCAATGTATGACCTTGATGGTGATCCCTTCTATGACTTCATGTGCTGATTTTTCTTTCCCTTGAAAGATTCTGTTATTTCTCTTTTCACACACTGCCCAAATAACTGCTGCCCTCGTTGCTCTCCACATTATCCTTCCTCTTTTCTTTGGGGAATATGTATGCCATGGAAATTATCTCATGTACTCCACATAGTGCTGGTAGTGTTGGTTGGGGAATATGTCGATTATGGTAAAATTTCGTGTTGCTACTCATGGAAATGGTAATATGTCGTGGAAATAAGGGACATTTTAAACCATTAAAAAGAAAGAAACATTAACAAGTGCTTGTGATACTGACTATTGTATTTGCCATGTGTCAAAGGATTGGTTTAATTGGGTTTAAATTGCCTATACTTGTGGTTGTGACTGTGTAACACTTCCACTTTTTAGCAAAATTTTGCTGAAACCTTATGAACATGACTCCTGAAAGTGATCCCAAATAGTTAAAATAACCAAACCAGGCTTTGTTAAGTTGATGAATGCTTGTGATTACATCTCCAGTAATCCATGCTTGTTTTGTAACTTTATCACAACCATGCCTATGTCATTTCACATAACCAATCTCTCGTTACCTTTGTAGTCATGGGTTCAAATAAGTTGGTGTAGAGCCCATATTTGGAATCTATATTATTAGTTCAGTTCCAATAGTTTAGTACTTGTTCATATGGCTGCACTTTTATTAATCTTCCCTTTCACCAACAGATTGAGGAACTGTGCATTTGTTGATTTCAAGGATGAAGCTTTAGCTTCTCAAGCACAATCACAGCTAAACAGGTATTCCTACGTCATCCTGTTTCTGTCTTTGGTGAAAGTAAGCTGAAAGGAATATTTTCTGATTGTTCATTTCATTGAGTCGTTTCAGGTTGAGGTTTCTTGGGAAAGTATTATCAGTGGAAAAAGCAAATAAGCCAACATTAAATAACAAAGGTCAACAAAATGATGTACAATTGGGAAAAGAGTTCAGTACTCCACCCACATTCCTGAAGAAGGATGTTCCCTTACCTGGAAATTTTACCAATGGATCAGATCCATGTTCTCTATCTGCAGGCGAACCCATTGCTCCAAGACTTGGTGTAGACTACCCATTTCCCCCTCATATTGAGTATGTTGTCTTTTTATCTCCTTCCTCAGAATTCTTGGTTCCTTGTTGCACTATCATGTTCATATGCATCACCATTTTTTGATTATCAACCAGCTGTGTTGTCATCTAAAGATTTTTTCCATATATTGCATTGGCTTTTATCAGGTTTGCATGGGATGTTTCTTCATGTCTTGTTGCCAAGGTCAAAGGCATGAAGAAATAAAAAAACCTTGTTTGAAAATGAGTATAATATGACTGTTGCTATGCTTTAGAAGTGATGAAGCATTCATGACCTTTGTATTTGGAGTATCAGTGGGTTCAAAAACTGATATGATACACCCTGTATCAGACATATCGTATCAATACTTTGAATCTTGCTTGTTGCATGATCAAATTGAGTGTTGAGGAATAACATTTTTTGAATTTATCACTTGGATACATTGCATTCCAGGATCATCATCATCTAAGCCTTGTCCCATCTATATGGGGCATGCATACCATGGAGTTTTTGGTAGCTATGGTCTCACTTCCTTCTAGTTTACCATGCCCACTTTGTAGCTTGAGTAACTTGTCTCTGTTTTATATCCATTTAAATGACCTCTGCTTTTTACCTTAGGTATGCATACCCACCTCCAGATGGAAATATACTGACTAACATTGTGAATGCTCTTATTGCTGTTCCTCGTTTTTATACACAGGTTCCTCCTCTAACCCCATGTACAGCTTTCTGTATTTAACATGTTTCTTTTCTTGTTGCCGCATCTAAGATGTGGGTTTTTTTGGATATCTTCTGAAGGGCTACACAACGGGAGGTAGCCCATCCCCCAACCCATAATCCCCCTAACCCAGGTGCAGGCAGGATTTGATCCCAGGTCTCCACTACGACCGGCAGGAGACCTTACCAACCAGCTGGTTGGCACCTTGCCAAGATGTGTTTTTGATTTAGACATTTTTAATCTGTCTATAGAATTGAGAGCGTTTTTTTTCCTAGAGTGTAACCTTTACTTGCAGGTATTGCACTTGATGAACAAAATGAATATTCCAGCTCCATTCCGTGTGGCATTGCCAACTCCACCCCTACCACCTTCAGCACCTGCTCCACCACCTCCGCCGCTGCCACCTCCTGTAGCTGCAAAACCACACTTGGCAGATCTATCCAGTGATGAGTCTGAATTGGAATCTTCAGATGAGGCATTTCTTATTTTGCTTTGCTTATTTTATTGCTCCTCTAATGAAAAAGTTTATGCTTGTTCGTATTGCACTCAAAAAGTTAATGTCATGGATAGAACTTGTAGCAGTACTTAGTATACATTGTAATATTTTTTTCCTAAGGGCATTTCTGTCCTTTTACATGAAGTTATATAACTCTCATATTAATAAAATAAGAATTGGTGTAGGGCAATCTAAACCCATTCCATTCCCTTCCGAAATCTTCTTCTCTTTCTCTTCTACTTTCACTTGGTATTAGAGCAACAAAGATCATTTTTTTCCTCTTGCTTTACTAAGGCACTGTTTGGCAAGTCTTTCTGAGTATATCTTTTGACAGTTTGGTTATCCAAAAGACGTGTTGAGTTTTTGGGGTGTTGTCTTTAAAAATCAAGATCATTTGGTAGGTATATCGGTCTACCAAGCTTTTAAAAACACATTAAAAGGCTATTTGCTGCATGAAAGGACCTAAAAACTTCATTTGAAGCTTCTCAAAATTTGGTGATTTTGGTGTTTTTGGGCTCATGTCTTTCATTCTTCCCAGCTTTTTGTTACCCAATGGAAAAGATCGAAAATCAGTCTTCTGAGTTTGCTGATGCCCAGAAGACTGCATGGAAAGACATGCCAAACACCCTCTAAGACTACTAGAGTATAGAGACTGCTGACATCAGCGTCTGTATGGTACAGCAGTACTGTTAGTTGAGGCAAGCGAACTCTAGATTCTGGAAGGATACAAATTTAGTTGATTTTTCATGAAAGGTTCATGTAGATCAAAGTACAATAACCATTTATTTATTTTTTTTTTGTGAAAAATTACAGAAAAGTTCATGTTTGGATTTTTTGGTTGGTTCATTTGATTTGTTATGTTTTCCAGTGATTTTTTGGCATAGGGTTCCATATCTTTCCGGTGACATTTAAATGTTTTTTGAATTTTTTTTTTCTGGGTTCATATTTACCACTAATCTACTTTTGAACCCAATGTTCAGAGAACCGGACTGGACATAGAACTGGAAAGGGGAGAGTAGTCCATTGGGTGAAATCTTTGAGCAGTTTTGAAGGTATTCCTGTTGATGATCTGCTTAGGAAATGGAAAGAGGTGGCTAGCTCATTTTTATCAAGCATTTTGGTCCTCTCCTACTTCCGGGTTTATCAAGCTGAAATTTGATGGAAGTAGTGAGGAAAACCCGGGTCCATCAGGCATTGGGGGTGTCTTTTGGAATGTGGAGGGAAGAGTTATTGCTCTCTACTCTGGCCCCATTGGTTCAGGGGACTGCTTGAGGGCTGATATCATGGCTGTGATGGAGGGAGTTCGAAAAGCAAAAGAGCTAAACATCAGAAAACTGATCATTAAAGGGGATTCTAAGCTGGTAATTGGTTGGCTGCAAAAGGAGGAGTTGGGCTGGTGGAATTACATCAATGAAAGAAGAAAGTTCAATAGGTAACTCAAGGATAGAAGTTAAGCTTCAGCCCTTAAAAGATCTGCTAATTCTTTTGCCGATGCCTTGGCAAAGCAAGGGGTGCGAAGGGATCATCTTTTTGGGGCTGTGATGCAATTTGTTTGTTTTTTTCTGTCTCCTCAGAGAAAGTTAAGAGAGTTTACCTTTCTTCATGGTGCTTCATTGTAATTCTTTTCTTGATTAATGAAAGATTTTCTGTTTTTTTTTGATAGATAACAAAGACTTTTATTAAAAGATATTAATAAAAAAGATACAAAAGGAGGGGTAAAAACTCTTAACCCTCCCAAGAAAGCAGTTCAGATTACAATGTTGCCCAGAAGAAATTAACACTTTCTACCCCTTGTTTGGCCAATGAATCTGCCAAGGAATTGGCGCACCTCTTAGTCCATTGAAACTTGACTTCCATATTTTGTATGAGATGTCTTTCTTTTTTTTCATTTTTTTTGATCAATAACTTTCTTTTTTTTTTTCATTCAGAAACTTCCACAGACTAGAAGTATCCTTCATTAACCAATTTATAGCCAACTCAGAATCACCTTCCACTATCAATTTTCTGATATTTAACTCTTGAGCTCTTTTTAACCCTTCCAAAACAGCCAATATTTCAGCTCTAAGAGAGTCTCCCCATCCAATAGAACCAGAATACAATGYGATAATTCGACTTTCMTCATCCCTGAAAGCTCCCCCTATACCCGACAGACCTGGATTTCCTTCACTACTACCATCAAAGTTTAGTTTAGTGAACCCTGAAGCTGGAGGGGACCAAACTGGGTAAGATACATTCTTTCTTGGAGCTGACCAAGCCACTTCTTTCCACTTCCTGATGATATCTCCTTCTGAATAGTTTTCAAAAATTTGCAAAGTCTTGACCCAGTGAATCGCCCTTATAGAAATTAGTTCAATGATTACACCCTTATTTCTTTCTTTCCCATGAAAGGTCTGTTGATTCCTTTCCTCCCAGACTGTCCAACATACAGCTGCTCTTACACACCTCTACAGAAATTTCCCTCTCTTCTTCAGCCTCCTAACGGTAGTAGAATGGAATAGGCTTTGTACATTGGGGGGGGGGGTCCACCTGTCACCAAAAAGATAGAAAAACCAACACCAGATTTCTGAAACAAATGGGCAAGAAACCAATAAGTTCTAACAAGTCTCACCATTCCTCTTACAAAGGATGCACTAGGGTGGGGGATAAACACCAATTAGGCCTTTTTCTTTGAAGTAAGTCGCAAGTGTTACACTTTTCAAGGAAAACTTCCCAACAAAATGCATTAATTCTGGGAGGAATTGGTCTACCCCAGACTTCCAAAACTGGAAAAGGGATTCCATAGACAGGTGGGGAATGAGCCAGTTCTTTGAAGAAAGAGGAGCAAGAGAAGACACCCGAAGGAGAAGGAGCCCAAATCCTACTATCCATCCGAAGGGGGTCAATAGCCACCCCCTCAAGGATTTTTAGCAAGTCGGCAATGAGGTTCAATTCCGGGTCTCTAAGGGTCCTTCTAAAACCCAAATTCCAATCAATGGTTGAATTAGAGGAGGTAAAAAAAGTGGAACTTTCTGGGAGGAAAAGGGGTCCTCAGAGAAAGTTATAAATAGCAGGACCTCTTTAAGAGAAGACAACCAGAATTCTCAAGCCTTCCCTCTTGAGTTCTTGAGAGGTTACAGCAATTCCCACCTTCAGAGACTCCCCTTCCTGTCTTAGCTCTCTCAGATCTCAGATCTGAGATCTCCCTTTCCCATTACCACCGGCAACCTTCCCTTAGGTGTCATTTCTGCTGACCTTCAAGCAAGGACCCTCTCAAGTGCCAATCCACACCCTCCTACACCAATTTCTTAAAAAATATGTTTTAACCAATTTATCTCACAGGTTGCATGAACCATTGCCCTGTACTCAACTATAACACTACTTCTAGCAAGCACACTCTGCTTCTATTTTTGATAATCAACATAAATTTCATTAATTTAATAAGAAAGATTAAGTACAAAGGCTGTTAGGTCCAGTCATCCAGAAAGAAATCCAAACCAACACAATTAGGATTTAGCCCAAGACAGTTGCTCCCTTGAACCCCTTGCTTTGCCAAGCAATCCATCATCCCATTTGCTGTTCTCCTAATCCAATTAAAGGTAGCTCCCACTTTCTTAGCCAAAGCTTAAATTTTCCTTACAGAATGTCTATAAGCCCAAGCTCCTGGAAATTTGCTGCTTAACCAAGATTTAACCACCTTAGAGTCCCCCTCTACCTCCAAATGTTGGCTTCCCAACTTCTTGGCTATCCCCAAACCTTGTAGCTGCTCTGTTATTTCTGCTTTTATAGAACCACAAACTCCAATTGGTTCTAAATATAAAGCTTGGATTATTCTCGTTTTTTTTTGAACAGCAGGAAAAAAAATTTATTGATGAAATTAGGAGTTACAAGAGTTCAGGTATAAGATCCTCCCCAAAAGAAACAAAAGATTACAGATTTGCCCAAAACATTTGCTGTTTTACAGCCCCTTGTTTGGCCAAAGAATCTGCCATTCCATTTTCTGTTCTTCTTACCCACTTAAAAGCAAAATTTAGTTCCCTTGTTAGGCTTATGGTCTCCCTGAATTTATTCTGGGACCCAAGGAATCTGGGAACTGTTTCTGGTCCATGAGATGACTGCTTTAGAATCCCCTTCCACCTCTAGGTTGTAGAAGCCTAACTGTTTCGCAAGCATTTACCCCTACAATAGACTGACCAACTCTGCTGTCAATGCATCACCATGCTCCAAGGGTCTTGAGTACAAGACCACYACTCTACCTTACATATATCTGAAAACACCCCCTACCGCAGCCAATTCCCTGTTGCCAATAAAGCTTGGATTACTCTCATTGTGTTTATAAAAAYGCCTCCAATTCCCAATGGGCTTGGGTTACCCAATGAACTTCCATCAAAGTTTAGCTCAGATCCTCGAGTTGGCGGTGGTTTCCATTCCATCACAGCCTTAGCTTTTATCTTAGAAGAGCTAGCCACTTCTCCCCAATTTCTCACTATTTTGTTGACATGGAACTCTCTGGAAGGTTCTGAGGTTTTCACTTGGTTAGCAACTTTTTTTTCGATAACTAAATAAAAATTTTATTAAAGAGAAAAAGAGAGTACCACTTGGTCAGCAACTTTTATTTTTACACTATCCACTATTTTTACACTATTCACTATCCACAAAATTCTACTCCTGTTATGATTTGCCTCRGAAAGTTTGTGGAAAATACATCAACCATGTCTTGAGGAGCCTCCCACTTGCACCTAAAGAGAGTGCACAACTCTAACCAAACACAATTCACAAAGGCACAGGAGATTAGTAAGYGAGGAATAGTCTCATCTCTTGCCTTGCAAAGACAATATATATGAGGAGAAAGGCACATAAAGAGTAATAAGMCACCTTAGCATCCCAGCCATCGTCCRAAGCACCATGAATACTCATAATAACCTTATGCCAGAACTTGTCCCTTTCTAATGGTAAACACCACAACCATTTCCCAAGCAAAGCAGTATTCCTATGGATCAAGTTTCCTATCCCCAACCCACCTTGTTCTTTAGCCCTACACACCATTTCTCACTTGACCAGATGGTCTTTTCTTTCCTCACCCAGTTCCGAAAATAAGTCCCTCGTGTTTTTTTTTCCCTATCTTCTTTGCC